TTAAAGACAAAGCATCAGTTTATACATAAAAAGGTGCTTAATCCAAATGAGCATTCATTTATGAGAAACAAAAGAATCTTCGTTAAACTAAGCACTATCATTCTTACATTTATTATTTTTTTAACAAATTTAAATGCCTTGTTTCGCCCATTCAAAGAATTAGAATCTCCAATTTTAATTTTGTTAGTAGTCGGAAATGCATCAGTATTTTTCTCCATGTTTCACATGCATCTCACATTCAAATTATTAAGAACTCCAGTTTAATTTTCATTAGAAATTGATGTGTATTAGTTTTTTTTCCTTCGATTTTCCCATGCTCTCAATCAAATGAAAAGAATTCCAGTTTCAATTTTGTTAAGATATTAAAGTACATCAGTTGTTTTTCTCCGTATTTCCTATGCCACTCTCATCATCATCATCTCAGTTGTTTTTATTTATTTTTTTATGATGATACGATTCAAAATTCAGTTTTATAAAGTTAAAAGAAATTAATATGTATGAGTTTTTTTTTTTCTTTCACATTCTCTATCAATTTAATGATAACTCCTGTTTTGAGACTGATCTGATGCAACCTAGAAGAAAATTCAAATGAAATTCGGACAAATTTAATACTCTCTTAATCTCATCATTGAAATTTTTTTCATTTCCAGGATTAATTGAGATGTAAACGAAATCGGAATAAATAGAAATAAATATAAACTGAACGAAATGGAATTAAATTGACTGAAATCGAATATAATGCAGTGAAAATGCAATGACGAAAAAAAAAAGTCAGTATTCTGTTTCTCGTTTCATTAAATTTCTCCATCATTCCTTGAATTAAGTGAAAGGGAATGAAATAAAAATGAAATCGAAATAAATAATATAGATACAAATTGAATGCAACTAAATTGATTTAAATTGACTAAATTCCAGTACAATGGAATCGAAAAGCGATCTGTTTTAATATCATAGAATTTAGAGAATGTACATAGAGAATAGAATAAATTGCAGACTAACGAATGATATTCGCAAAAAATTGAATAAAATGGGATGAGATTAATAAATTAGGAAATTATAATTGGTATATAAAACGTTTTTTTTTTTTTTTTTTTTTTTTTTTTTTTTTTTTTTTTTTTTTTTTTTTTTTTTTTTTTTNTTTTTTTTTTTTTTTTTTTTTTTTTTTTTTTTTTTTTATCCACCAGAGAATGTAAAAACACTCCTAGACAAGCGTCTCCAAGTGTAATATGAAGCTCTAGAATTTTTATAGATTAATTCCAATTCGTGAATAAAACTTTTGGTAAACAACAGCACTTACTCTTATTGTTACTTTTTAAATATATTGTCTTTGGAAAACCAAAAGAAATATAAGTTTCGAAAAAGAAAAAAAAAACTAATTAGACTTGTTATTCAATATTTTTTTAATCAGACTTGTGATTCAATAGTTATTTTAAGTCTGCAAACTGGGAAACTACTAGAATATGGTAAAATTTACCGTGTTTCTGTCTCTATGGGAGCACAGTAATTTTTACCGATGCGCTTTGGTGATGATTTAGCTGAAATTAACAATATGGTTTTATAATATGCGATAAAATTTGATATGTGTGATAAAGTTTGGTTATGATATCATAATAAAAACCAACAGGGCATAAAAACCATTTATTTGGCAAAAATTACTTTTCAGTTTTGTATTTTTTAACTGCGAAAAATTACCAATTGAAGGGTTTAAGTACCGTATATTTTGGTTTTATAAACCAGAATTATGTTTTTTTTTTCCTTTACCAGAAATATCTTTACCATACAAAACGGTAATTTAACCAGAATTATTTTCGCTGTGCAGCCACTAATATTAAGGTTCCAATTTGATCTTTTTTTTTAGTTTATTCTAATAAAATAATGTGCAGTCCCGTGTCAATCACTAGTTATTCTGCCAATAATTCAGATTGCAAGAAATTTGCACACTATAATAGTTTTCAGTATGCGATATTTAAGGGCAACAACGCAGTTAAATTTTCAACAAAAAAAAAACATAATAATAATACATATATATGTCATTTTTCTGTCGAAGTTATTATTAATAGGTAAAAAAAAGTATAGTTAATACTTATTTTTATATCCATTCTTTAAAAAACAAAAAAAAAAGTATCCTTTTCTAAAGAAAAATTAATCGAACTCGCTAGGTTTTATTTCTTTGTTAACCGAAAGACTTATGAGAACAAACCATACACCAACAGCTTGAAATAAAACTTTTGAATTTCTAATCCATTGTCCGTCACCAAACAAAAATAAAGCTAACTTAATGATGTAAATAAAGTTTTAACAATGCGAAAAAACACGGTTTCAACTTATTTCATTGTTTACATTCATTCTTTACTCATCATTCAACAATTATGACGTAATTTTCGCACTTTTCACGAAAATAATGTATATCAGTGTATGTCATAAATTATTATTAATGAATTATTATTAATCTATATAAGTTACTGGCTCAAAAAATTAACCTTTTCATCATCATAGCCTTAATATATTAATAATAGCTAGACCAAAAATCATGACCCTAAATATTGTTAAATGTTTAATAAATTGCTTTAGAAAATGTGCTTAAGAAAAAAAATTTCGCCTAATTTTTAAATGTTGTTTCAAATGTTGAAAACAACATGAAAAAGCACTTGTAGAACTTGTCTCCAATAAAATAATCACCGTCTGTTTGATTCGATAATTTTTGTGGTTTGTTTCAACTTTATTCATCATTTTTATGTAACATCGCCAAACTAATATTCGTGTTAAAATAAAGAAGGGTTAACTTTGTTCGCGTATGAAGTTAAAACAATGTGAAAAAGCACAAATGACTTCGCACAAAACAAACAAATTTGGCATTATGCTTGCCTTTTCACGTTGTTTCAACGCTATTCATTGTTCGTTTCTAAACACTTGTTCGTTTCTAAATTTAAATTTCAAAACTTACCAAAATGGATTAACTTATGCTAGTTTCTCTATAAAAATTTGCTAGACATAAATTAAAACTCGTCTATATTTTCTAATTCATCATCATATATAGAACGCCAGGTGGGCTCAAGCCTTTCTCTTGAAGATTCCTCCAGAATAACCTGATTTCTGACCAAGACTGCCAGTTTCTTATCCCATTTCTACATGATTCCATAGAATTGAGTCACTTTTATTTAAGCCTTGCTTTTTTCCAATACGTGAAGAAGGGCTTAAAAACAAAATCTCCTTTACCGGATTTTTTTAAATCTATTCCAACAATTTCAGCATCACACTTCATTTTTTTTAATTACAATAATTTTTATGATAATTTTTCGTAATAATTTTTTCGAGCTCTTTAAAAATCCTATAAATATTTTTGTTAAAACATCTTCGCTGAAGGCCATTTTCTTTGACACAGCCAAGGATGCTTCTAAGAACATTTTTTCACACTTCTAAGAACATATTTTAACACACAAATTACAAACTTGTGTCTTCCATTTTTAGTTAAAAGTCAGGTTTTTGAATCATACATTAGGACTCCCTTGATGAGATTTTTATAAGAAGCTATCAATGTTTTTCTGGAGAGAAAATGAGGATCACATGAGGATTCTGAAGTGATCACAATAAAGAGAGTTTCGTTGGCAAATGCAATTTTGGATTTTAAGTTAACAAAAATGAAAAGAAAAAAAAAATTCAGAAAAGGAACAACAAAAAAAAATATATTTAGGCCATATGTATTTTAAATCAAATTCCGTTTATCACATTTCAAGCTTATATTTTTGAATAAATTCTGAAATTAGTCAGTAAAAAATGCAGCAAGTCATAATGTTTAACTTTAATTTAACTACAATCTATTTTTATTAGTCATCTAACACACGATAGTATTCACAATCTATCTAAAAAAATTTTAATCAAATTCCGTTTATCACATTTCAAGCTTATATTTTTAAATAAATTCTGAAATTAGTCAGTAAAAAATGCAGCAACTCATAATGTTTAACTTTAAGTTAACTACAATCTATTTTTATTAGTCATTTAACACACAATAGTATTCACAATCTATCTAAAAAAATTTTAATCAAATTCCGTTTATCACATTTCAAGCTTATATTTTTAAATAAATTCTGAAATTAGTCAGTAAAAAATGCAGCAACTCATAATGTTTAACTTTAATTTAACTACAATCTATTTTTATTAGTCATCTAACACACAATAGTATTCACAATCTATCTAAAAAAATTTTAATCAAATTCCGTTTATCACAGTTCAAGTTTATATTTTTAAATAAATTCTGAAATTAGTCAGTAAAAAATGCAGCAACTCATAATGTTTAACATTAATTTAACTACTATTTATTTTTATTAGTCATGTAACACACGATAGTGATCAGAATCTATCTAGAATCTAATTGTAATAGAATCATTAAAATTTTAATTTAGTCGTATGAGTTAAAAAAAAGACATTAATACTGAAACAATCACATCAAAACTAATAAGCGGTTTAAAATTAATCTATTTCAGAAATTTATTAATGTTTTTAAGCATTTACTACTTAAATTAGCCAAATTAAGACAAAGCGTAGGAAATATTTATTCCATTTTAAGTGCAACAGTTAAGGTGTTCCTTAACAGCCACCCCTAATCAATACTTTTAGAATGCTTCTCACAAAATAAAAATAATAAAAAGTATGCACATTAGGGGGTCGTAAATTGATATTTAAGAGAGGAAGGGACAAAAACGCAATCGAATTTTAACGAAACATAGCTAAGGAAGGTTGATAAGAAAAACACGTTATTGAAAACACCTTCGAATTTCAGCCCCCAATTAAAATTGTTTTGCGATTTTAAGTCGCGCTTTCCTCACTAGTGATTTAAAAGATTTCGATAATGTTTATATTATTTCCTTTTATTAATATTGGTTTGAGACTTCTAAAGTGTATACTTTCTAACAAATATTCTAGTAATATATATTAAAAAGAGATCATAACGGAACGACCTACATGCATTAAAAAAAACATTATTTAGTAACAGTTCATACCTGAACTTTTTCTTCCGAGGGTCAAGAACTTGACACCTTGAAATGGTGAGATCCTAAAATAACAGTGCTGTGATGTTTTCTCCTTTTTTTGCTTCAGTACATCTACATTGAACAAAATCTAAACTAAATTAATATCATAGTTAAAAACTAATAGTGTAACTTACATTTATGTATTTTATGTCAAAAATTTTGGGATATTTTACTTATTTATTGAATCAACCTGTTTTTAGGGAGTTTTCTCAAATTCAAGTTTACGTATTTCGCACAAATTTAAAACCTCCTTTTTTCTTCTTTTAATTATCTTATTAAATTATTAGATTCATAAAGCATGTATTATATTTGCAACAAAAGCTGGAAAAAAAATTCGTCATTATTTCTCACATTTTGAATGCAAATCTATTTAATAAAAATTATTTTGATAAGGTTGATATTATCATATAAAATATTGCTTCCGCCTTTTTAAGCTTCCAAAGAAAAAAATGAATGAATTAGTAGCTTGTATGGAAAAAGGCACAACCAATTAACAAATTCAATACAAAATTTCGAAATTTACAAAATATACAGTTTTCCTAAATTTATTAAGGGAAAAGTTAAAAATGTTGTTAAAAATCCTTTATTAAAACTAATAGATCATTATAATAATTAATTAGCAGCGTTTATCGATATAGTTATGGGTAGAAAATATACTCTCGAAACTTCTTAAACTTTTATTTTTAAATCAAAATAACGCTAACATACTTTGAATAAATAAAATTCTGTTTCCATATTCAGTAACAAAAATTTTAAATGAAGTCTAGAATCACTATAATGATAATTCAACTATTTTACTTCCATAACAAATTCAAGTCATCTAAAGAAAACCAAAAATAAAAAGGAATAAAAGTCGTTTAATCAGAAACAAAATCCCCGTTCTTGACTGAGAATAAGAAATTTTTCTACGAAAATCCCTAAATGCTAGAAATAATCCCTCTCAATGCATGCTCAATGCGCATGCGTGTTAAATCAAATTCTCTTCCTAGTAAATGATATTCTATGAGCATGGAAAGAAGTTTCAAAATTTTAATAATTCAAAAAATACATTAAAATTTATAAAATATAGCCGTTTCTTTCGTTTCGCAAGCACTAAAAAGCTTTTTGGTACTAAACAGAAATTATTTATAAAATAGCAACGGAATGAATGACTGAAAAAATATTAAAAACCAATTATTATGGCAAATTAGTGCTTATAACAAAATTCTTTAACAAAACGAATAATGTATGCGATGCTCATGAATTTTTTTTAGATTTAAAAATAACAATTGTATTTAGAAACTTCGGTCCGATATACAAGATTATTTATATTAAAATATTTTACAATTAATTGATATTTATATTTAAAAGAAATTAAACAAATTTTATAATGATCTTAAAGAAGCTTTTTTAAGCAAAATTAATGCTTTTAAAATGTAGCAAATATCTTTAAAACCTGAATTAAACAATTTGCGACTTTTAGTAACCTGTAAATATAAGTTCGTAATTGCTTGCCTTTCATCAAAATATTTAAAATCTTTATATTAAATGAAAGAAAAAAGTCATTATTATGCACTTATAATATTTTTTTGTAACAATTATTTAAAAAAAAATATTTCTTTGCTTTAGAAACTTCGCATCTCTATAACACCATTTTCAAGTAGGGATTATTTCCCTACAACTGCATTTACAATTTATGAAATTCATACCAGTTTTAGTTCCAAGATTAACGTAGCAAGATAAACAGCTTGGATAACGTTTTTCATAGACGTTTTATTTCATTATTAGGATGATAAAGCGATATAATTTCGAAACAGGAACTAATATAGGGAATCGCTGGAAACGACACTGCCGCCATTTTAAAAGTACGGCGATAAGAAATGTATTTTAGATAAAAAGGAGCATTTTTAGCAGCAATACTACTTTGCAGTCGAATTTATAAGAATAAACATACATTTTTACATGTTTTAAGTTTGTTAGAACCCTTTAAATTTCGAGAAAAAGCTTTAAAATTCGATAAAAACAAATTTTCTGTTCGATGACGTTGAAGAAGCTTCTATAAAGGCGGCCATATTGCTTTCGCAAAGCAGTTTCTCGGTGGTTTACTCTTCGAAATCGATGTGAAAACGCATTTTCAAATGATTCAAAAGGAGATCTTTTTAATTTTCAGAAACAGGGTAATGAAAACCTGTCATACTTACATCAAACTTGTGAATCAATCATAGAAAAAGTATGAATTTCGCATGAATCTGAAGTTAAAAAGCAATGGAGGCAATCATATGTCAACGCCCACCTTTTCTAAAGCGACTTCACGGAAGCAACCGAGTGCGGAATCTGATTGGTTCGTTTTCTATGGTGAAGAAGTTCCCGGATTGATGCCGCTGATTCGTTGTAGCAAATAGGGAGAGCTTTTTTGATTTCCGCGCGTCTATGGCTTTTAACTTGAATTTTGAATTTTCCTCCAGTAAAATGATTTTTTTTAAATTTGAAATTTCTTTTTAAAAACAAAACAATGCTTGAAAAATAATTGAAATGAATGCTTTCAGTTATAAGCTTTAGCAGTTATAAATTGTTCGAAAAGGCAGAATAACAAACCAATGCATCGAATTAAAGATTGGATTTAGTTTAAGAGTAACAAATCAATAATTGGGTTTCAACACAGCACGTTGAGAGAATGTTTGTGCAGAAATTAGGTAAATGATTTTTTTTTAAGGAAACCGATAATTTCACGCAGTTTTATTGATTAATGATATTTTTTTGCTTCATTCATTTGTATATTTCAAACAGATTCATTTTCTTGCTTTTATTTAAGATGAAAATAAATTAACTCCATTAAGTTACAAAGCAGATTTTAAATGGCGTTGAAAAGGGACAAATGTTTGTTTTTATTACAAACTTTTCACATTTATCAAAAAATAAAATTCTTTTTTACTTCGTGAAAGGAACCATTTGTTTTAGAGCTGATTTGATCCATATTTTAGAATCAAATTTTCTGGTACTAAATGCGTATATTATTTTAGTACAAAGTAACTTACCGATTGTAAGTAATAAGATAATTTATGAATTTTGTACAAAATATTGTGTTTGTTTTAATAAACTATTAACAACGTTTTTCCATCGTCGTCAACAATGTCAATAAACACAAAATGAACAATTTATTTCAAGTAACAAAATCAATTTTAAATTGCATAAAAACGAAACTATATTTGGATTCAAAAATGATTATCTTTTTTTAATTTTTATTTTTTTATTTTATTTAATCATGAAACGAATGTTCTTGTCAAAAAAAGTAGAAGAGAAGGACGAAGGAGAAGAAAGGAATAGGGAAAGATGACTGTTTTCAATTTCGCGGAATAAAGTTATTTTTCAGTTAAACAAACAAAACTATTTGCCTTAAAATGAATTGTTTCCATTTTTACATGCATTATATATGTTTTGTCCTTTCATATACAGTGGAGCATCGTTTATACGACGCCGAAGGGACCACCGAAAAACGTCGTATAAACGATAACGTCGTATAATCGATTTTTACTTCTAAAACTGAAACTAACTCTGTTTTCAGTTAATTTTAATGTTTAACGTGTTGATTTACATACATTTCTANATATATTATAACGACCACAACATATTAATTTTTAGTAGAAAATTTATTTCTGAAGTGACTTTTATGTTTTAATTTATCAAGTACAATTTTTTTATTCAAATGTAGTATGATGCAATCAAATCAAGAAACAAGATTTTTTTTTTTATCTGCATGCAAATAATTTTAAAAATATCATGCTTTAATCCTTTTTTATTTTTCAAGCATGTTTTCTTGTTTCAGACAATCTAATTTTAAGTAACGAAATAATCCTTAAATTGTTGACAAACGAAAGTGTTTGTTTTGAAAATGGTTGCCTTTTATTTTCTTAAGTACAAAACAAGCTTTTTTCGTTCATGCATATGATAACGTAAGACAAAGAACTTATTTTTAACGACAAAATAATTTTAAAATTTTATGCAAACGAAACTAATAAGCTTTAAAATATGATAAACTTGCTTTTTTTTTTAACATATCAAACAAGTTTTCTTTTTTCAAGTATATTCTAAAACAGAAGGCAACGACCACATTTAAAGTAGGATGTAATTTTGAAATTGCGCCCATACAAACGAAACTTTTAATTTAAAAATTATTTGCTTTTTTTTTATTTTCTTTATTCAATTTTTCGTCTTTTTCGTAATGTAAATAATAAAAGCCGAAAAAAAACTACTAATTTCTCATAACAAATAACTTTTACTTAAACACGATATAATATACTTAATGAATATAGAAAATAAACAAATTTTTTACAGAAAAATAATTTTTAATTTGAATGCAAATGAAATTTATAAATTTTAATATGGATTTTCTTCCTTTTTTTTTCTATTATTTTTCTATTTTTATCCAAATGTAAATAATAAACACAAACAATAAACTTCACATATTTTATATTAAAAAAATAATAATAACTTCGAAAAACATACAAACGAAACTGTAGGGGAGAGTGGGGTCAATTGTAACAGGGTACGATTCTAACAGAGCAAAAATTTCGAGTGTCGGGTTCTAGATTTGGTTCCTAGGTGGCGCACAAGGTGTATTTAATAAATCTACATGTACACCCCTGATGGCAACCATTTTTATGTACTTTTGAAAGAGTTACATCACAAAAGATATTTTCACGCCACGCAAGTACTTTTTTTGGTATTAGAATATTATATTGTAACAAAGTAATTTTGTTTAAACAAATAAAAATTAGTAACCGAATATGTAAGTGGACACCTTAATTAACATTTCAATAAAAAAAAGATTAGTTTTGCTAATTAACTAGCATTGTTTTTAACAAATGAAGCTGAAATGGCGTCTTGGGGACAATTGTAACAATAAGTAAAGGGACGATTGTAACAGCTGAAAATAAATAATCTTATGTTTACAAACCATTACTTAACTCTTTAAGAACCACCAATAGTTTCCTATATCATTTATATTATGTTGCATGTGCATTATTTTATTTGTCACCTTTCACAGCATAAATTAAAATTTTTAACCCCTTAAAGTTAAAAGTTTAACCCTTTAGGTCTCTGCTCATTATTATTTTTACTCCTAAAATATCACTACTATTTTGATCAATAAAAAAATATATCACAACTATGATAATATGTATAATTAACTATGTTTTAGTTGAATTTATGAACTGTCACAATTGACCCCGTAAGTGGGGACAATTGTAACAACTGCACGACTGTCAAAAATTGTTAATAACTAAACTAATAACATTTAAAATAAGGTATTTATTTTTTTTCTAGTAAAGGATAGTCTACTTTACTCGTCTGTCAGTTAATACTAATAATATATTGGATTTTTTTCTTAGTTAAAAATAGTTAAGTAAAAAATATTACAATTGACCCCACTCTCCCCTATACTTTAAAAAAGATTTGCTTTCATTTTTTTAAATTCTTTTTCTTCATCAAAGCAAGGTTTTTTTCTCCTTTAGAGATTATTGTAGTGCAAAACAATGTACTCGTTTCAAGTAGTAATTTAATTTTTCAATCGCATTATACAATCGAAATTTTTTTCTAAAAATGATTCGCATTCACTTTATTTCATTTATCTATGTTTTTCTCACTCATTTTCCCCCAGTTATAAAACAGTTTTTATAAGTGGTTATTCCGAACTCATGTAGCAAGCCTCTTTCCTACCGTCCGAACTGAACTATAGTGGAACTATTTTGATTTACGATAAAATCGGCAAAGCGTGTGTAAAAAATTTATCATTTAAATGCGTGATTTAATTTTGAGGTTAGTAGTAATATAATATCAAGATTTGCGAAACTAATTGAGGGCTAAAAAATAACTTCGAATTTATGGTGAAATTGGCACAAATAAAGTACATCAAGAAGTGGTTCATTAAATGAATGATTCACGAGTCGCAATATTATGTATTGGGATTTTAAAAACCAGATAGAAATGGGAGTTATAACTTCAAAAACGATCGAAACGATTCAGTTGGATTTTGAAAGAAATATGTAAAAATAAAGCAAGTCTAAATGAGATTTCTGAAAATAAAATTCGCTTATCTTAAAAAAAAAATTTTTTTTTAAATTATATGAAATTCTATAGCAATAACAACGGAAAAAGCAATCGAGAACAATAGAATTCGTGAAAATTGAGTTCGTCAAAAACAATAGATTCAAAAGTGCGATTTAATATTTTACTTTTTTGTTTTATTTTTCAAAATAATAATAATTTTTTTTAGTGTTTAGGAGCTCCTACGGGCTGTATATCAGCAGTCAGAGCTCCACATCTGGCTCGCGGGACGTAGGCTATACACCACTATGACATTTGAAATCTAGAGTAAGAAATTAGAGTATAAAATTAGATACCTACACTATTAAGGAGAAATACAACTATAGATAAAAAAGCTAAAGATAATTTGAAAATACCTTTTCTTATAATAATTTTTTTTAAAAATTATCTACCTTCTTTTAAATTCCGAACACTTTTTTTAAATTTTTTTTTTGCATAATTTACAGAACAAATTTTTAGAACCACAGCTGAAAATTCGTGCATTTTTTATAAATCAATTCAAACATCTCTAATGTTAGATGGCACATAGCGAAAACAACAAAGACAACAATTATTGGTTACCTTAATATAAACATGCTTAGCAAAATAAATGATTTTTAAAATGCTTTACTCTTTTAACATTTTTTAAAAATAAAACTTTTTTTTAAAAATTTATTTGCAAATTTAAATTACTTTTGCTAAGCATTTTATCATTGATTTGTTAATACAAATGTTGCCATTGACAAATTATTTCGTATTATTATTTCTATATAAGTAATAGTAAATATCATTATCTTTAATAATAATTTTAAAAAAAATTTCTTTTACATAACGCATTTTATTTCGCAATTATTTTTTTTAACTCATCTATTTCAACGCTACATATCAATAGAATAGTTAACAGAAAACCAAAATTTTAATCATATCTGTGAAAAAATAAAATTTTAAAATAAATTAACTTTGAAATTAGACTAAACGTTATCAAATGCTTAAATTATTATACTACTTGCCGTAAAAGTAAATGAAGTTATGTTATTTGAAAGCTAATTTTATCGCAAAACGAATTGGAATAGTGATATAGATATTTATGACGTAACATTTTACTGTATACTAAAATAAGCACTTAAGCAGAAATAAAATCTTTCCTGAGAGAATTCAAATTGTTTTCCTTAAATGCAAATAGATTGCTAAGCCTATCTATCCATTACTAATAGCAACGTTGATTGCGTATTACT